CCTTTTTTTGTTGTTGCTGGGAACGATACGTGCATGCCAGAAACACATCTCTTTGCTGTACACATGTGCATGCCTTTGAGGTTTGAGCTGGCGATGTATATCAAACAACGTGTGTCCAATGTCACGTTGGTTTTTGGTGTGCAAGATTTGTAGATTGCTGATCACGCTTGCCGCGGGAAGTTTTTCGTGTGCAGATACGTGGCTTTATATGACATCTCAACTAGAGCTTTGTATTTTTTTTCCTACACTAATCATATAATTTTAAGAAAAAAATATACTTTTCGTCCTTTAACTCTAGATTTAATCCTTCAACTTTAAAACCAGAAAAAATTGCATTCTAAACTTTTAAAACCGGTAATACTATCTTTTACAAAGAACAATCCTACCTTGTTTACACGTCCACTAAATGCACCATTGTAGACTACTTCCATTTTTTACAAGCAAGGCAGGAGCTCTATCGATTTCATTAAGAGAGAACTAATACAGAGTTGACCGGTTTAAAAGAAAAACAAGGCTCAAAACCAACATGAACCAACACCGACACGAACACAAACATGCCAACACCACCTAACATGACCACAATCCGGAGCGATAGTAAGCAAGTTCTTTGAAGACGACTTCAAGAAGGAAAGACAATGCCCGAGGACACCGCCGTCGCCGGCATCGACCCGCGCCAATCAATAAGCTTTCGCACATACCTGCGCATGACCGTCCTGCCAAACATTGGGATAGATCAATCCTAGCCATTAGCCTCCGATACCACTCATCGCCGACCAGCCACATATCAGTGTGAAGAAGTACTCTTCGACAATATCTCCAAGAGGAGGAGGACGCCCATGGGCGCCAACATCACCCGCAACGACCACCGACAAAGAACGAGGCTTTCGCCCAGAGTCTTATGCCTCGCCACCTCTGATCCAAGGTAAGGGCCTGGCCCCTGCGAACATCAACAACGACGAACCAAACCAAAAGGAAAAAAGAAACGCCGTGGCCTCCACAACACCATGAAGGGCTGCCTGCATAGGTGTCGGCACCACCACCACCACTACTATGAGGACTCTTGAAGCCACAATGCAGCAACCACCTCGCGTCCGCGACCAAAGCACGCCAACGACGCCCACCAACAACACCACTATGCTACCACTCGCACGCGCCGCACTGCCACACCCATCGCCACGTCTACGTCGTCCCGTAGAGGGAGAAGTGCAGCTGTGCCATCACCGACCCCAAGAGGTCACCTCCAAAGACGGAGCAGCAGATCGGGCGCCGCCCCAATCTAAGCCCTTTGAGCCGACGCGCGAGCAACCACCGCAACGCAGCACTGGCGCCTCCCAGACGGAGTTTATATCCATAGGCAAATGATACAACATATACCATTATATCTCAGTCATGGTAGTACATCAGGGCAGCAACAATGCAACATGGCATCCAACATGATGACTTTTATTCGAACAAGGAATGGAAATACACACACATAACACAGGGTGACACACTGGTTTGGATACTCTCGATGGGATCCAATTTTATTGAACGCAAAGGTGAGACACGACCTTGCCCTGTGAAATCTCAGACCATGGATACGCATCATTACGCATCAAGGGATGTGAGGCCAGCATCAGCGTTACAGAAATTGACACAAGCATCACCACACTGTTCCACATAGAGTTTCATCTCTTCATCGTCAGCAGCTGGTGCCCAAATAGCATGTTATGTGTCAGGAACTCGCCTTTTCAATTAGTTTACAGGAATGCAAATACAAGATGAATTTTATTTACCTGCGTTGACCATGTAGTCACATAGGGAAGACCTACATCCCAAGTTGCAGTACTCCATGGTGTCTGGTTCATCTGTCAAATTAAAATATCTAGCGTGTAAATAAAATCCTGTTCGAAACAAATAATTCCCCGGTTACAATATGCTTGATGTTTTGGATATTCACATGGTCTCTATCATTCGTTCCTTGTTAGTTATTTTTCCAATTACTTGTTGGTAGAAAATTATGAAAAAAAAACTCGTGGAAAATTATTCATGACAAATCTGATCATCTAACGCCATCTAACATATTCAAAATACTTCATCATATTAGTAAGAAAACCAGGATAATTTTAACTTGACTATATGCTTATCAGAATGACATCTGTTCTATTTTTAAAAAAGAGGTAGTATATAAAATAGAAGGAGTTCATTCTCTTTACCTGAGTTGGACTCAAGGACCAATTTAGGGAAGTCCTTAGGGCAGCTTAGGCCACTTGTGAGTTTACACCTGCAAACGTTTGCGCATAACTTCTGAGCACCACGGGCGCGGCAAAGGTTGTAGCAGTTTCTTCCTAGGGTGCTCTTGCAGCAACTCTTGCCTTCTACTTGCACCTGTTCCAGAACCAACCCCAGTATGAGTAAACACACCATCACACCCTTGAGGCCCTTGCTTCCCATGGCTGGCAGGCTATCTTGCAGAACACAGGCTTTGGTTGATGGATTGCTGAGACTAGGCTTGGATGGCTCCTACTTATAGGAGATGGTGGTTGTGGCATGTGGGATGTTCACGTGATGGTTGTGGTATGTAAATGTTGCGTGTTCATGTCAGCCATGTATTTTTTTTTGTGATATCATGCCAGCCATGTAAACCGGATGAAAACAAAAGCTCCTAACTGTGAGTGTGTTTGGAGGGCTACTATTCTTCCAAATTCCACTGGCAATCTTTAACCACACGCAACAGCAACAAATCCATTGCTAGTTGCATATCACTCCTTAAACATGATTTTTTTTAAAGAGCTTAGGGACAAATATTGGACCTTGTCCTTCTTGCCTTGCTAAGGTGCCCACTCCGGCAATGACAACAAAAGTGTCTTTAATCACGCGCGGCAACGGCAAAAAAGGCAACCTTTATGGTTGTCATCCATCCCAAGAGAAACTTGGTTGAAATCGCGTGTAGATGATAAAGATGATGGTTGTGGAATACGTGCAAGCGAACATGTTCGTACCAATCTATTCGCGACCACAGTTCACATGGTATGTCACTTAGGGGTTGGTAATGCAAGCGCATCCCTCAAAACAAAAACTTTTGGCAGTTAGCTAGTTCTTTTCCGCATGTGCTTTAGGCTTTTCTCAGCGCTTCATAGTGCTAAGAATGTCACATAGGCAACAAGTTGAAGTAACAAAGAAAATAAGAAAAAGAGAGAGCATCCAGACCCAAGGAAGCAACGATGTCAAGCGAGCAAATCTATGCGGAACACATATGCATGAGGAATTTTTGTTGCTAAACGATTAAATGAAGGAAACTTAGCTACAAAAAGCTAAGCACCTATGCATGCATTAGGAAGTTTAGTTTATAAGTTCTTTGATGCACTTAGCACCTTATCTAAGCACCTGTGGTGGATCCAGAAACCTCTTGAAGGCCGAGCAAAGCACAAACTAAGGTATCTAAGATGCCATTTTAATTTTTTTTTAAATCATCATATAAAAAAATGTCTAACATAAGGCGTCGCATCAATGGTAGATTCACTCATGAGTGAGCATCATTACTTTGTTCTAGAACCCAACTAATCTCTACCTGGGATCGGGAAAGTTTGTCTGATGAGATAATAAAATTCTGTTGAAAAAAATTAATGATGAATCTTTCACAAAACTGATGACGTGCGTGCTTGGGAAGAGATGGGAGTGACATGTGTCCGAGCAGAAAAACAAATAAGAGATCGATTCAAGGGATAGACCTAGGGATTGATGGGTGGGCCACAGTCCACCATAAGATTTCCTAATAATTTATATATCATAGCGAGCAAATGTTGAATCTTGCTTACTGCGAGACGAAATGAGCGGTCGCCTACGTAGCTCATTCAAGTGGGCCAACCCAACAGCGGTTTTGAGAAGCTTCCATGTGCCATTTTGAGAAGCTTCTATGTACAGTAGGGACTGGTTTTGGGGAACCTTCCGTGCGGTTTTCGGAAGCTTGCATCCTTTTTTTTTCTTTCCAATTTTTTTCTCTACATATTTTTATACTTTTTTATCTTTCTTCGTTCCTGCTATTTTTTATCTTTTCATGTTCTTTGTAAATAAAAGAGTGAACATTTTTGTATGGCATGAACTTCTTGCAAAAATAAATGTGTAGACAATTTTTCACATTTTCATGAAATTTTTTGTATATGTTGCGAACATGTTGTCATATGCCGTGAAAATTCTCCAAAATTTACACTAACTATTTTTTACATTTTCATGAACATGTTTACAAATGCTGAAATCATTTTTCAATGGTAACAAACACTTTTTATAAGTCACGAACATGTTTTAAAAATTGAGCGAGCACATTTTTATATTTCATGAACAAATTTTGAACGAGTTTTTGTTGGATGGTACACCATTTT